AAAAAAAAAAAAAAACGCAGCCTCTACTATTTATAAGAAAAAAAAATTGGATAAAATTGATTTTTTTTAAAAAAAAAAAATATAATAAATCGAGAAAAATGAAAAGACATGGGCCTTGTTTGGCAATCAGTGGTTAGCTCTTAGCAGATTGTATTAGATGTTTTGACCAGCGGATTATATCAGTTGTTTAGACCAGCAGATTTTATTATCAGTTTGTAAAATAGTGTTTGGTAAAATTAGCAGTTTTATACTTACCTGATTACATTTAATATTAAATTATAAGAACATTCATTTAATTTAATCATTTTCTTTATATCACAATAATAATTATTTTAAATATCTCAAATAAAATTTGTGGTATACATCCCTATAAATTTATCAATATTTTGTTTAGGGAAATGCAAGAAGAAATAAAAAGTGAGAAGCACAAATATTGGTGGTGGGCGCATTGAACTCCTTGTGAAAAGCTAATAGGGAGGAATTTATTGTTGTATACATCCTATAAATTTATCCATATCCCGTTCAAATACTTTTTATTTATTTATTTATTTCTCTCTTGATAGTGGGCAACATTGAACAGTTAATCTCACACGCTTCTAATAGCAGCGTTTATGATTTTGGTTGTTTGGATGAAACAGCTATTTAAAAATGTTGTTTTATCAGACAACAAATTTAGCTGTTTGAAATGGTCAAACATCTAATATTGATTCAAACAACTAAAAGCTATGTGAAAAGCTATTTGTCAAACATGGTCATGGTTGCTCTTCTAGTTCAAGCAGTATATCTTAGAAATAATTTTCCAATAACAAAAATACAAATTTTCTTCTATTTTGCCTACTTCCGTTAACAACTAACGGAAATTTAACGGAGATCTAACGTGCGGGTACTAACGTTGTTAACAGAATGAAAGTATGAGTACCGATTTTGCAAATATTAAAAAACAGGTACTGATTCCGAAATAAACTAAATAAACTTTAGTTTGGGTTTCAAAACTGCAATTTATCCTAATTTTTTATGCTATATATTTTATACTAATATTTATACTAATATATACTAATATAGTAATTAGTATAATTATAAGTATAATTGTCCTAAATACTAATATATGTTATCCTAATATAAGATAATTCATTCTAATCCATATATGTTACTAATTTATACTAAAAAATTTATACTAATAAAATAAGTTTTATAACATAATTCATTC